TTGCTCAACCTTTTAGGTGAGAATTGGTAAAATTGATGTTGTTTTAACAATTTTAATGTATAAACTGCTTCAAAATTTGGGTAGATTTTTTCACTATTTGAGTTTAGGAGTTTCTGAGGAGAAAGAAGGAAAAAAATGTAAAATTTCGTTGTAGAAATTTGTAGTAGCAGTAAGAAAATTTTGAACTTCTATCAAATTTGAACCCATAAGTTGTGGTGATTGTGATTTCGGAATTAGGTCTATATTTATCAAACTTTTATCAAATTTGAACTCATCTACTCACACGGTGATTGCGATTTGGAGTTGTATTAACATTATTTACCAAATTTTGTTGAAGAAATTTTAATTTATGTAAAAGCTTTATATTGGAGATGAAATTTTGTTGAATAAATTTTAATTTAGGTAAAAGCTTTATATTGGAGATGAAGGGCAACACTTGAAAATTTGATTTTAACTAGAGGATAAAAAAGTAATCTTAACATAAAGATATAATTATCAATTATGAACCAAACAGAATAATATACCTTTTTTATCAAAATGATATCACTTAACTTTTTTTTTTTATGGGAATTAATCAAGCTCAGTCAATCTTTGATAAAAAAACACCAACAGCCGAGGCAAGGAGAGCTGAAGTAATAAACCTGGCTAATAGCTATGCTCGAGCACAAGCAGAATACGTGAAGGCAGGGGCGTCAATCCACGTTACACGAATGATCCAGTGGGTCCCGCTGGAGTCGGAGTGGGTGAAAGTTAATACCGACGGTGCTTTCAATTGCCTCACCGGTTTGAGCAGCGCGGGTGGACTGGTTCGAGACGATATGGGCAGATGGATGGGGGGCTTTCTAATGAATATTGGACACTGTACCATCACAGGTGCTGAGTTATGGGGACTTTTTCAAGACTTACACTTGGCGTGGGATAAAGGATATCGAAAAGTGGTAGTCGAGGTCGATAGCCAATGTGTGGTAACGATGGTTTATAACCGTCAAGGAGCTAATGGAGCACACGAGTCGCTGGTTAAGGCAATTCGAAACTTGATCGAGAGAGAATGGATAGTTCGACTCCAACATGTGCACCGAGAAGCGAACTTTGTAGCCGATCACCTTGCGGGATTGGCGGCATCACATCCGGTTGGGGTCCAACGTGTGTCCTCACCTCTTCCAAGTGTTGGTGCTTGGTTAGAACATGATATCATAGGGGTGTCTTATCCCCGTCGAGTTCGAGTCTAGGCCGTTGGCCTCCTTTATTGTACCAAAAAAAAAAAAAATTATAGTAACCAAACTTACCGTAAAGGAATATAATAACCTTTTGATATTCTCATTGTGTGTTTTTTCTAATATCTTTTGCAATATTTGAATTCTAATATCTTTTGAGATTATCTTAAGATGATCTCTCTTAAAGAAGGTCAAGATTGAGTTGAGGAAAACTTCACTCTTCCCCATATCTTCTATATAAGGATAGTTTCCTGTTTTAGTAATAATTATTATTATTAATATTATTTGAAAACTTAGTAGCAAAAACTGTGACTATGACATCAATATTCATAGTCAACACTCATGTATTATTCTGATATATCATAATTATATTCTTCGCATTTTGCTTATATATACTTTTGAGGAACTTGAGATGACTGAGATCGTGAATATACTTGTTGCCGTTTAGTAGCAAATTTTTCTTCTCAATTATTATATATGTTATTTAAAATTGACCACCATATATATATACATCACTTATTTCGTTTGTCACCAAATCTAAAATTAAAGATAATCAATAATTACTCTTCTATTAGAAAAAAATTATTTTCTTAATGTGCCTAAATTATTTTCTTAATTTGCCTATATAGAGATAAGTACATACATCCCTTTTAAGGTGAATTTGGCTTGAGTGACTTAATTTTGTTTCAATTTCATTCATGCCCCACCAATTTTTTAAGATCATGATGCGGAGCCTACTAAGTTAATTATATCAAATTGAAGCTCTCGACTTTATAACCTAATGATATTTTTCATACAATTCCCTAATCTTCAAGTCCATCTAATAATTTGTTAAGATCTCAATTTGGTTGAGTGACTTAGTTTTATTTCAATGTCACTCACGATTCACTTTTAAGTCCAATTTTTTATGGGCATTTATGATGAGAAACCTACCAAATCATATATCAAATTAAAACTCTCGACTCTCTCTATATATATCCAATGGTCCTTCTGAATTTGTCATACGATTATCTATCTGATCAACGATGAATCACTAATGTTACACATCAAACAACAAGAATCATATCATGGCACTAATGTGTCAACTTAGTCTAATAATTTTTCCATGTTTCAATCTGGTTGAGTGACCTTTAAATTCGTTTCAATTTCATTCAAGTTTCACTTTTGAGTCCATTTATTTTACCAAATTAATATTTATCACGAGGAACTTATCAAAGTACTATATATCTAATTGAACTCTCGATTTTATATATCCAGTGGTATTTTTTATTTCGTCATATTTACGATTCCCTGATTAACGACAAATCACACGAACCATTCCAAAATACTCCAATTGCAATCGCAATTCATCAACTTTCTCTCCACAAACACTCACTCCAT